TGTGTGTGTGTGTGTTTGTGTGTGTGTGTGTGTGTATGTGTGTGTGTATGTGTGTGTGTGTGTGTGTGTGCGTGTTTGTGTGTGTGTGTTTGTGTGTGTGTACTGTCTTGGTCGTCCTATTCCGATGTACTCCGTGTGGTGTAGACCAGGGGTGCATTGGGGGGTCGATTCACATGGCTTCGCCAGTTGTGTGGATTGGACAGTTATCTGGCGCTTGTCTTGATCTGTTTCAATCAGAATCAGATCCGCTATCGTTGCTATAAAGAGAAAATCTGTGGGTGCACATCTAGTGCATTTGCAGATTTGCGTGCTTCGCTTGCGACGGGCGTATACATGGTACATGGTGTGTGTGTGTGTGTGTGTGTGTGTGTGTTTTGATCGATCCTAATGAATTGGCTGCAGTGGAGTCTGCGCACTTTAATTAAAGAGGGAATATTCGTTCGAAGAAAACAACATTAATTTTGTTGCGCATGCTATGTCAGCATACTTTCAGCCAGGAAGCTCAGGGTTCCGAGGCCGCCCGAGAACAACACTCCCGCGATCCATCAACAACGATCTGAAAAATTCCAGATCCACAAACTCCCTCACATCACACGAGGATCTAGTTGCACTGAGGCAGCTCGCCCAGGATCGTCGAAAGTGGAAGGAACTAATGTGTGCTGTGTGTAATGGCTGAAGTTATACAATTACACTAGATACCCTTAACAATAATAACGGATACAATCTCACTAGATACTCTAGATACTAGATACTCGGTACTCTAGATACTACAGCTGACTTGACGAGAATTCATAGCACACATCATGATCCGTGCAAGGCTCCACAGCTCCATGGCTGCCACCCTCTTCACTGCCCTCTGCATCGCTCACACCCAGGCCGGTGTAATCCTCCACTTCGTCTCTCCATCTCTCCCCTCTGGTCTTCCGATCTCATGTATACATGTATACATGTACATGTATACGTGAAAGTGTATATTATGTACATGTGCATGCGCATATTGTGTGTGGTGTGTACATGTATTGTACTAGAGTGACCAGTGCCCTGAGGCAGATCATGGTCTACATGTCATGTTCATGTATGACTCACAATTGATAGTTTTTAAACGTTATGTGTAGCAACATTGCAATGTCGCAAGAATGCAGCGATGCTTCACCTTCTCTGAATCTCTGGAACGACTTGCCCCCAAGCCTGGCGCAGGACCATGAGACCCCATCCAATGTCACGTCTCTCCAGTTTCTTCAGCTGTCAAGATACAATGTACTGTGTTACTGTTAGTGAGCGTCACTGCTCCCATTGTAAAGCCTGTGCCATGTGTACCATGTGTACAGCCTGTACAGGTCCTACCAACCCAGATCATCTAGACAGTATCCTAGGCATAGCTCATAGAGCTCCGTCGAAACTTGATTCTTCCGTTCTTGATCTTGTCAGTTTCAAGTATCAGGCATTGTACATGATTGTACTTCTCTTTTCCCTGTCACCATGGTCACGTCAATGACCACGCAATAATACTGTGTGGTAGACCTGGAGGCACATGCTGCTGATCAGCTGACATGTCACGTGATGACTCAGAAACATGAATACATGTACTGCAGAATACTTGCTGCTGCCGTGGTGAAAATAATAATAATAAGGCCACACTGAAGAAGGTCTGTGGTTCGACTCACCCGACCGACCGTACATTTTTCAGCCCGACCGTAACTTTTTTTCGGCGGGCTGTCGTGTGACTGACGTAGACCTACGTACGTACGTGGACTGAACACGTCCACGTCTACGTGCTGTGCAGCGTGAGTCTGCGGACGCAGGCGGCTCCTTTTGGACTAGTCGACTTGACTTGTAGTTGTACTGCATGCAGTGCAGTGCAGTGAGTGGTAGACCCTACGACTGCTGCCTTGTGCTGGTAGTAGAGTCCAGGGAGTAGTCCAATATTGTACTACTCCCTGGTAGAGTCTACTCGATACGACCACCGGCAGACTGGCGAGACTTATTTTAAAGTGACCGTCCGGTTGAGAGTGATTGCCTCGTTCCAGATTAAGGACGGCCTTCTGTTTTGGGATGAAGGACAGACGAGATTGCACTTTCCTCGTGTATTGGGAACGATATTTCACCTGTACCGGTAAGTTGCTGCTCCATGTGTGCAAGCCGCACAGGAAGCGTCGATGGAAAAAGCCCATGTATTCGTGCACGCCGACACCAAACTAGCAATACATGTACCGGTACATTGTACAATTTGTACTTCGAAGTAGTTCCCGAACTTACTTTCAACTCACATCGTTCTTCATTTGCTTGATGATTTGGACATTCAGAGTCACCGCTTGAAGTTATTCTCTTCTCGTTCCAGAGCTACACAATGTTTCAAAGTATTAGCAAGTGATCCCTTTATACAACATGTATGGCATAACACTGCGTGATAATGCCGATGTACTGGGTGTCTAAAGGCAGTACATATACAGTGTATTTACATGTACTAAAATATAAATATATATATTATTTAAAAAAAATCCGCCCGCCCGCCCGTAAAAAAAATGTCCATGTTAGTCGAACCACACACCTTCTTTAGTTTGGCCTAATAATTATTATTATTATGTATTCATATTTTGATAGGGCAATCCCCACAGACTCAAGGTCTTCTTACGGGGTACCCTAAGAATGAAAGTAATGCATGGCGAAATATTAGTCGCACAGCTACATGTACAGTCCTGTATATTGTGTGACAATGCAGCACAAATCTGTACTGATGTGTTGCCAGAGAATCGCGCTGTTCCTCTACCAAGGCTATGCTCTATACCCTCAACATCTTTTTCCTCTTATAATCACGTTGAGCTATGTGCAGCAGTTGACTCGAGTTGATTTAGTCACCCCTTTTCCTCGCGCTATTGAAATGTTGTACCCCCATCACCTCTGCCCTCTTCTCTCAAGACCCTCCGACTCCGTATACATATATATTCTAGTGATTGTTAGCCTTGGTCATATGCTACTGTCTGATGAGTGTTTACACACGAAAATCGGAGTAACAGTGGACAGAGACTTGTTTGCTTCATTGCTGTGTAATATTTGTACTTCAGTATACATGTATGGATGTACATGTACACAGTACATGCGCATGCAATGCATACTCTATGAACTTTTGATAATACAAGTACCGGTATATGACTGTATGCACAAGTAAGTCGCAGGTTAGGAAAGGTCCAAGAGGGGGGAAGGAAAGCCTACAAGTACAACGTTGGAAAGTTGCTGGTTTGCACAAGTAAGTGGTTGTTTTTATGTGATAATGTGGTTCAGAAGAGGTTGGTGCGACTTCGGCGATATTTGGGGAAATGCGTGTTGCTCCCTACGTGGGAGCCTGCTCTATTCCTGCTAGGCATGGGCGGGTAATGCTGGCATTATAGTCCCTTTTTTCCAGGTGGCATAATGCTGGCATTATAACACCATTTCGCATGCAAAATTGGCATTACAAGCATAATTGCCGGTCGACAACGGTGTCATGCATGAAGCTGGCTAGGTCCAGTTCCGAAAATCGTGCATCTGAACCCGTCCGGCTTCGTCCGGAGACTTGACGTTGAAAATCAACCTTCTCAGTGGATTGTTGCAGACAACATGCTCACTGCTGTTCAATTTTTTTTCTTCTACTGAAGTACGCTTTGGCCTTGATCCAAGACGACCTTCTTAAATCGACTTTTCCAACTTTCAAACTGGCATTATGGAGTAGTGTGAGCATTATAAGTGGCATTATATCCTCATATTATGAGCATTACCTTTAGCATTATCGCAGCAAATAACTACATGTATAGCATTACCCGCCCATGCCTAATTCCTGCCGACTTGTGACAATTCAAGTCCGTAGTGCTGTCCATTCCTATTTTTAGTAACTCAATATTTTATACCGGTTTTGTGGATTATGCAAACTGGTTCTAGACAGTAGTTTTGCCTTGTTTGTTCTAGTGCAGTCACGCACACGTAACGTAACATGCAGGTTGTTCTATGATCTAGTGCAGTCATGCACACGTAACGTAACATGCAGGTTGGTTCTAGTGCAGTCACGCACACGTAACGTAACATGCAGGTTGGTTCTCATGCCACTGTGATGGTGATGTTGTTTGCCTCACTGCTTCCTCTCCCCTCGCCTAGCTCTCACCGAAGCCATTCAGCACAGGTGAAGCTGTGGGTCAAGCACACAGCTGCTACACTTCTACGCCTGAATGATTTTAACACGAGTAATAAAAATTAATGGCTGCGTTTGGAGTTTAGGGACAATTGTGAACGTTCATTCCTCACAGTACGTCAGGGTACATGTACATGTATGTACAGGGGCGTCGGAAGGTATTTTAGTGTGGTACGGTCAGCCATCTGAAGTACAATTTACTCGAGGGGGAGTGGGTGCTGAGCCGAAAATTTTGGAATTTTAGATCCCAGATCAGTGTATTTTGTTGATTCACGGGGTATCTGGGGCAAAAAGTGGTACGGTCAATACCGTAGTGACCGTAACGTGTGCGACGCCCCTGATATGATGTACTAAACTCTCTAGAGAGTATGGAGTAGAGAGTATGGAGTAGAGAGTATGGAAGTTACAGTGTACCAATAACAGATTGGACAGTTCTGGACGCTGTAGAGAGATAGTTACATTATGTACAATGTATGTGGTGTGTAGTTCTACACGACTACATGTACACACCGAATCTCCAGAATAAGTGAGAGGGAAAGAGAGAAAGAAAGAAAGAGAGAGAGAGAGAGAAAGAGAGAGAGAGAGAGAGAGAGAGAGAGAGAGAGAGAGAGAGAAAGTGAGAATGTGTGTGTGTGTGTGTGTGTGTGTGTGTGTGTGTGTGTGTGTGTGTGTGTGTGTGTGTGTGTGTGTTTGTGTGTGTGTGTGTGTGGGTGTGTGAGTGTGGTGTGTGAGAGAGGGTGAGTGAGTGAAAGAGAGCTGAAATGTGAGTAAGATGATGGACATCCCACTGTAGAGACGTCAAGTGGATCAAGTGCACAACACGTTACATTTTCAACGGTGATCATTTCCGACAGGGCAGCTAGCTTTCTTCTGCAATATCTGAAAGTACGCCGGAATCTGTACTTGTTTGAGATGGAAGTTTAGAAGAACCAGTCATTGGAACTTTGGGGGAGACAACCACTGGAAGTTTGGGGGAGACAGCCACAGGAACTTTGCGTTTACAAATCAACAGTCTATTGCTGGTACAAGATGAAGAGCGAATGACCTGAGGGATGGCTGCTGAAAAGAAGAATACGTGGGATTTCTTGATAGACTGCATGTTTGCTCCGAAACGAACATCTCTGCTGCTCCTTCTCGCAGACGGGGTGCGCAAGGTGAAGTCATTCCCAGGGTATTGTGACGTCATCCGTATTGAGTGGCCTTCTACTTCCAGCTGGAAAGCATTGCTGCTGCTAATGCTGTCAGTGTGGCTTGAAGATGTCTGTGGACATTACGTACACGCGCGCACATGCACACACGTGCACATGCACATACGCGCACATGCACACACAAACACACAAGGACACACACAAGCACATACATGCAACACGCACACACACACACACACACAGCACGTAACACACACACCCACACACACTGCACGTACGCACACATACACATACACCTTTTTTTTTACTTAGGCCACAGCTTCCAATCATGACATGCAAAGCAGCGGTGCAGCATCGCACCTACTGGTATTCGTTTGACATACATGTGCTAACAGAAACAGGCACGAATACTTCAAAAGTGTACAAGTAATAACCATAAACGTGACACATAAATACATACAATTATGATGAAGAAAGGAAAAGGACAAAATGTTACGAGTTATGACAAACTGTCCACCAACGTAACCAGATCTTATACAGTTAGCGGGTGCGACAAAAATTGTCATAATTCGTAACATTTTGTCCTCCTCCTTCAAGTCTTCATCATAATTGTATTGGCTCACCATCCGAGTTCAACATAAATACATACAGTCGCAAATGTTGTACATGTACTGTACATTTAATTATTATAGAGTCCTTACCACGCAGAACGACGCCATGGACCAAGGCTAGTATCTCCGCTGGGTGTCGATCAAGAAAACGCTCTCACGGCAGGCACCGGTATCGGCTATCGCTGAGAAAAGCTGTCACGGCAGATTTACAGTATCGCCTATCGATCGGTCTTTGTAGATCTTCGTAGATCCTGGTTCTCGACACACGCGGCTTCAACACAGTACAAGGCACGCACTACTAACTCACGTGATACTGACGTTCTGCGCAGTGTGTCTCTTTTCCAAATCACTATCACCAGACCATCAGGATACCTGTGTAGGGTAATAGCGACACTGGCTTGATGATCACTCCTTTGTGTCCACTCATCCAACAACAACAGCAACACTCGCCAACAGTAGACTACTGGTGGAAGGGTGGCTATCTCATACCCTATTGACTAGTACTAGTATACTGATAGAAGCTTACAGTTTTGGCTGTGTCTCACACACAGCCTAGCCTCGTTCCTTAGCTCTCTGCTCTTATTTTTACCGAAGTCTGCCGCTAGCCAAGACGACGGTTTGTAGGTGACAAAACAACACTCAACAGCAGCGACCGACTGGTACCGTGTCAGTGGTGATAGAGTAGTACTAGTACACTAGTACTAGTAGTGTGTACTGACTGTCTGTGGAGTCTGTGGTCATGTGGCGACACGTACTGAGCCTGGCCTGCGAGACTACAAGTACAAGTACTACAAGTCTGTCTGTAGACCTACTCACCTAGCTGGGCAGGCCCATGCCATGGCCCTGGCCTTGGCTTTAGCCTTCACCATGTTTACACACTACCCCATGGCCCAGTGCCCGGGCTTTAGTCTAGACTAGACTAAAATAATTATTGTGTACTTGATCTTACTACAGTACTGACATGTACTAGACAGTACTAGTAGTCAGTAGTCAGTACAGACAGTAGTCAGTAGTCAGTAGTCAGTACAGACAGTAGTTAGTACATCCAACACCACACAATGCCAGTCTTGTGTGGAGTCTACATGTACAGAGACCAAAGCAAAAAGACAACCCAAATAATTAAATAATTTGCCAATAAAATGTAACACGCAATCCACACAGAGACAACATAGAGACGAACACTTGTAATAATTGTAGTATGTATGTATGTATGTATGTATGTATGTATGTATAACTCATAATCACAAGGTGATCGTAGAGGCATTAATCAGCGAGAGAATTGTGAATGATGTCTCTGAATCCAACTCTATCGTGTGCTGCATGAGAGAGAGCATGCAAGGGAAGACCCGTCCAACTTTTAATGTTAGAAATCCATGATGTCGCGGGCCTTCATCTCGGTCGAGATCCAGGAGTTGATCCTTGCAGGAAGGGCTTGGAGAAAACGTCATGTCTCGTAACATGGCCAAACCACATCAACTTAAATTTCTTGACTTCGTTCGCTAGCCGCATCCTTGCTCCGATGATGTCATTGATTTCTTCCAGGATAGATTGGTTGGTGCGCCGGTCGTGGTATGTTACTCCTAAGAGTCGGCGGAAGCATTTCATCTCGAAGGATGAAATTCTTCTCATTGATGAGGCAGATAATGTCCAAGATTGGCATCCGTATAAAACAGTCGCTAGCACAATAGACCTAACAAAACGAAATTTAGTAGGCAAAGAAAGTGATGGCGATTTCCAAATGAATTGAAGCTCAATGATCTTTTGCTTCCCTAGTGCTAAGCGTCTTCTTATCTCCACATCGGACTTGCCATCCGACGTGATTAAGGCACCTAAGTATTTAAACTGGGATACCTCTTCTATTCGCTCATTGCCTACTTGAATGCACCCCAGATCACCACCGCCCTCCGGCGCTGCCATTGACTTGGTCTTGAAAGCATTGATCTGCATGCCTAGTCTTGTTGCACTCGTATCCACGCGCTCGGTCAGGTCCATCAGCTCTTCCACAGACGATGCGATTAGATCTATATCATCCGCAAAACGTAGGTTGGTCACGCACATGCCGCCGATACATACCTGACATACTGACCCATCAAACTCCTCCAAAGCGTCATACATGATGTACTCCAGGAATACGTTGAACAGACAAGGCGAGAAAACAGCCCTGCCTGACACCCACTGACGTGGTGAACCAGTCGGTGATAGTGGATCCAACAACGATGGCAGCTTCAGTAGTAGCGTAAAGCGCTTCAATCAGAGCTTCAATCAGATTTGTAGTAAGCAAAGTAAATACGTAATTACATTGTACTTTTGAGTGTATTGCGATATCCTGTGCATGCCTGTGACGTTGTTGCAGTGTAGCAGGTAGTGTACAACAAGTCATGTACATGTGTCTGACTATTACCATGATTACTGTTGAGTGTTGTTGGTTTGACTGCATGAAACAAGGTGGAGGACATCGACACCGTGTTCGGAAACAGTGACCTTTCTACAACCATCCACGGTTGTTTCCGAACACGGTGTCCTCTACCTTGTTTCATGCTGTCAAACCAACAACATGTGTGAACTAAAACAAGGTTTATCTAATACTCGGATGGAGAGCCAAGGTTTAATATTATTTACTTCAAGTATACAAAAGAGAAAGGACCAAGGAACTACAAGTTACGCTATACTGTCCACTAACACCACCAGTTACTATAACTATCAGCTCATGCTCAAGGTCGGCAGAGCATCCCAGACCACGCCACCACTCCCCTTAATCATGGCTCACACATGACGGGTTTACGTGGCTCTAGTAAAAAAAAAAAAAATGCGATAACATTGCACGACACTGACCGACGTCACAGTACTGACGTCACAGTACTGACGTTTACAACTACACAGTAGTTCACTGTATATGTACCTGGCTATCAGCTCTAGCAGATCTTCATGATCTTGCCATTCTTGGATGCGCACTCCAACAGCCTTCCAACTACTTGGACGGTTCTAAGATAGAAATAACATCCTAGTATAGTAGTAAGGAGGGGAAGATGAGCGCAACCAAGATAAGCACGCGCTGAAAGTCTCAGCTGTGAAAGACGTTGGCGGATGTTCATGCATGTCGATGACGATACTGGCAAGACTATTTATACGGTCAAACTGGTGGTGTTAGCGGACAGTAAAAGCAGAAATTTTCGGTGGTGTAATATTTTCGGTAAAACCCGTTTTCCAGGTACTTCGAAGTAGGTGTGCTAGTACTACACGTATACAGTATCGGTTGTACCGAAATTTTCGGTGCGTTTTATTTTCGGTCAAAATTGTCGGCACCGAAGTTACCGAAAATAAAACACCACCGAAAATTTCTGCTTTTACAGTAGCGTAACCATGGTAACTCGTAGACCATGTAGACCTACATGACGATTGTGTAGTATAGTAAAGAACCTTTTCATAATAATTATTATTTTTTTAGTCGCTAGCTAGTAGTATAGCTAGCTGAGCGCTTCCTTGTCACCATGTAGTAGGCATGTACCACTAGTAGACCCAGGTGCTCGAAGTCCGTACATGGTATCCTAAGTTCGTACGCCCATAATTTCATGTTCTGTTGTTATTGTATTCGACCCAAATATTTTATGGAGGGGACAGTGTGGTATGTTCTCCTCGCGTAGCAATTTTCAGGGATCTACGATAAGCAGAAGTCCCATACCACGCGAGTGGGTTTTCGAGTGTCCATACGAAATACAAATTGGGTTACATTTCATGCAAAAATCAACTTTGCCAAGACCGATTTCGAACGGACACAGCGTCAAACAGACCTTCACTCAATCATCAAGAGCCAGCTTAGAGCTGACAATGGCCAGAGGAGAAGAATTTACAGAGAACCACCAATCCTTGCAGAAAGGTTGACACTCCTGGCATCTCCACCACTGTTTTCCCGCGGTTTTCACAGCGCAGCTGCTTCTTCTCTGAGCCGACTAAAAACAGCTTGCATTTCGGCAACAAATTACGCTTTTGCAAGAAATACTGGTGGAGGCACATGCCAAACATATCCCTTCGGTGCTTTCGTCGTAACCGAGGGATTGCAAGTTAGCAATTAGCAGAAATATGTGTGTATTTCAAGTCACCTCTGATCAGTACGGACTTAGAGTACCCTCTGCGACACCAAAATTTGATATGAAAAATCAGCGAACTCCAGAGAAACAGATCGGATCGAAAGATGGCCTGGTTCAATCGAACCTGGCCTCAGAACAAACTTGGACAAGATACCTTCCATCCACGAGCAGGATTCTGGCAAGTGATCATTGCTAGTGTGAGTTTCAGCTCGGCAAACACACACTGTAAAAGTGTACGGACTTCGAGCACCTGGCCTGGGTCTACTGGCACTAGCAACATACACCAGAAAAAAAGGTTCTTTTTCTAGTCATCGATGTGTGGATATCAATCACGTGATTCATGTCCTGGGAGCTCAGCGGATCTGCCGTTTGTGTTCTGGCTTCTGACTCTGATGAGAACCAAGAAAACTCTCTCCGCGAACGTTCCTGATTTGCTCCACTTCATCTGAACATAGTGAGCATCTTCTTTTCTTCAAGAAAGCGCTTCTTGTCGTCATCCCTCTCTTCAGTTCCATGTAGCCTTGAAGGGTTTCGTTAGTGACAGAGGAGTACTTCCTGAGCATGGGAGGGAATAACCGCTGCGTGGGTGCGCTAAACGTAGCCAGAATGACCGTCACGCTGTTTGCAAGCTGCCTTTGCCTGATCAGTTTCATTCAGTTTTCAACAGGACAACCGTTTGCTGATTTGGAATGCGAGGTGAAAAAGGCAGCGCTAGCGTTCGGTGCCGAGCGCACTGGGACGAATTTAGCGGCTCTGGAGAGGGGTCTGAACTTTGCGGACAATTGCTCACACCATCTTCCGGCGCAAGACGACACTCGTCCACCTAGCGAACACATACCTCGTATGTCAGCTAGCGCTCTTCGATTGTTTGTATCACCGAGTGGAGACGACCATAATCCCGGCACAACACCAGATAAACCCTTCAGCACGCTAGCTCAGGCTCGCGACGCTATTCGCTATCATAAACGACAACAGCTAGCGAGCAACTCGAGCAGTGTGTGGGCAGGTGCGGTGGTGAATATTAGCGATGGAAAATACTTCATGAAGCATCCATTGCATCTGTCTGTGGAAGACAGTGGAAGCGAAGACGCACCAATACTCTACACGGCCTCGCGTCCGAATGGCAAGGTAAGACGTGTACATATTCATTGCAGCAAGGACATTATCCTTATGCATGAATGCAGGGGAATTTGAAAGTATTTTAGTGTGGTACGGTCAGTCATCTGAAGTACAGTTTACTGGTGGTGGTGGGGGGGGGGGGGGGGGGAGGGATGGCGGAGCGGAACAGTTTGGAAATTTAGAGTCCAGATCAGTGTATTTTATTGTGATGGCTATGGGGCTATATACCGGTATGAGAAGGAGGAGGGGGGGGGGGGGGGGGGGCAGAGAGCGGAGACAAGGACAGAGAGAGAGAGAGAGAGAGAGAGAGAGAGAGAGAGAGAGAGAGAGAGATTTGCGTGTGTACTAGTATTTCTGGATTTGAAACTGTGCGCATGAAGCACAGTAAGTCTGACCATTCCGCATTTGATTTCATTGTAAGCTGTCCTGCTCTGTGGAGCTGCAGCTGTGCATTGATACATAGGGAGTGATGGTGTTCCTGCAGCTGTGCATTGATACATAGAGAGTGATGGTGTTCCTGCAGCTGTGCATTGATACATAGAGAGTGATGGTGTTCCTGCAGCTGTGCATTGATACATAGAGAGTGATGGTGTTCCTGCAGCTGTGCATTGAGACATAGAGAGTGATGGTGTTCCTGCAGCTGTGCATTGATACATAGAGAGTGATGGTGTTCCTGCAGCTGTGCATTGATACATAGAGAGTGATGGTGTTTCTGCAGCTGTGCATTGATACATAGAGAGTGATGGTGTTCCTGCAGCTGTGCATTGATACATAGAGAGTGATGGTGTTCCTGTGGATGCGGAAAACTCGACCTTCAGCCATATCTCACGCAAACTGTTAATATTATTTTTAAACTGTCCTTCATATCACCACCTTGGTTCACCCTCTGCTTCAAACCCATCAAACACCAAGCGTCATGAGCATTGCTGACCTAACAGGAGATAAAGATTGTTATATTGGCAGATGGCCTGAAAAGCGGGTGGCATGGTATGCGGACATGCAAACACTGGCTTCAAAAGCATTGGGCACGCCGCTGTTGGGTTTCGATATCTTTATTAGGGGTGTCCACGGGTAGTCGGGTACCCGTGCTACCCGTGAGGACCTCGGGTAGTCGGGTACCGGTGCTACCCGTGAGGACCTTGGGTAGTCGGGTACCAGTGCTACCCATGAGGACCTTGGGTAGTCGGGTACCAGTGCTACCTGTGAGGACCTCGGGTAAACTGGTACAGAATACTAATAATACCCGAAAACCCGTACAGTCGCAGATGACATCATGTACAGTGCACGTGTACAAATTCATCTAATACTCCACATGTCTACCCAGTGTGTAAGGGAAGGGGTGCATTGTGATGTTACCATGGAAACTTTACCCGACCGGGTACCCGTGCTACCCGTGGAAAACTACCTGAACCCAATACCCGAAGAAAATGCTACCCGGCTCAGCACCAATCTTTATACATGAAGAATCAAAATGAATTGTCAATGCAAGGAGAACATAACAAGAACTGAGGAAAAGACTGCGATAACAGTGTATCAATGTACATGCAATGAATTGTAGAGTGTGATGGCATGCGTGCAGGAAGTGAGTGACAAGGCAACGTATGCGTAACAGTAAATAGTACGGCCGTGGACATTGAAATCCGATGGGATGACCGGGGCCGGCACCTCATTGCTTTCAATGGGATGACCGGGGCCGGCGCCTCATTGCTATTAATGGGATGACCGGGGCCGGCGCCTCATTGCTTTCAATGGGATGACCGGGGCCGGCGCCTCATTGCTTTCAATGGGATGACCAGGGTCGGCGCCTCATTACTTTCAATGGGATGACCGGGGCCGGCGCCTCATTGCTTTCAATGGGATGACCGGGGCCGGCGCCTCATTGCTTTTAATGGGATGACCGGGGCCGGCGCCTCATTGCTTTCAATGGGATGACCTCATTGCTTTTAGCTCATACATGCACTGTAGTTCATGTACACACTGTGAAAGTGGATCAGCAATGCAGTGCTCGTAACCATGGTGACTGCAAGGCCAGCACCCCGGGTGTAAAAGTGGATCAGCTATGCAGTGCTCGTGACTGCAAGGCCAGCACCCCGGGTGTAAAAGTGGATCAGCTATGCAGTGCTCGTGACTGCAAGGCCAGCACCCCGGGTGTAAAAGTCACATGTTTAAGTGGATCAGCTATGCAGTGCTCGTGACTGCAAGGCCAGCACCCCGGGTGTAAAAGTCACATGTTTAAGTGGATCAGCTATGCAGTGCTCGTGACTGCAAGGCCAGCACCCCGGGTGTAAAAGTGGATCAGCAATGCAGTGCTCGTGGCTGCAAGGCCAGCGCCCCGGGTGTAAAAGTGGATCAGCAATGCAGTGCTCGTGGCTGCAAGGCCAGCGCCACGTGTGCGCTTAACTTCTCAACGGATTCCATTGTCCGCCGCAGTAGTAGTACGAGAGAACTTAGCATACACATACAGAAAGCGGGATGCATAGATGGGTACACCAGCCACGCGGGCTTCACTTGATGCGACACAGCATGGGGTAGATCAATGGTGCTGAGCGGAGCCAGTTCCATCTCCCCATTACACACCAGAACCTCCCATTGTATTTTATTCTTTCTCTATGCTACACAGGTTACTCTGAGTGGTGGAACACCGCTCACGTTGTCCTGGACAAAGAGCAAAACAAATACAAACGTCTTCCAGGCCCAGGTACCAGAAGGCATGACGTTCACCACTCTGTTCGTCAACGGCGTTCGGCAGATCCGTGCACGCTACCCCAACGGTGATCCTCAGCAGATGTCCGGCGTGTGCTATTATGTCAGTCAAGAGGGCGACGAAGGTTGTCAAGGTTACGCCACGGCGAGCGGTGCAATATCCGAGGACGCCAGGCTTGACCACCTCTTCAAAGATCGCCAAGGTAACACTGATTTTTCAGTACTTGCATTGTCAAACGTTCCCGTGTGCACATGCGTTACAACGATGCACCTGCAACTTTTATGCGGGCGAAATTATTCAGATGTACTTTACAAGAGCATGAAAGCATGTGGGGGTCGACGTCCACTCCTATTTGTATCTATTGTAATCTCAATACTCGCTTCATGGGTGCAGCGAATAGGATTTTAGGTCTTTGATCACTTTGTGGTGGGTCTGATCAACTCACCTCCCTCCACTTTAGGAGCTACATCTGTGCCTTGATACATAGAGAGTGATGGTGTTTCTGCAGCTGTGTCTTGATACATAGAGAGTGATGGTGTCCCTGCAGCTGTGTCTTGATACATAGAGAGTGATGGTGTCCCTGCAGCTGTGTATTGATACATAGAGAGTGATGGTGTTCCTGCAGCTGTGTCTTGATACATAGAGAGTGATGGTGTCCCTGCAGCTGTGTCTTGATACATAGAGAGTGATGGTGTTTCTGCAGCTGTGCATTGATACATAGAGAGTGATGGTGTTCCTGCAGCTGTGCATTGATACATAGAGAGTGATGGTGTTCCTGCAGCTGTGTCTTGATACATAGAGAGTGATGGTGTTTCTGCAGCTGTGCATTGATACATAGAGAGTGATGGTGTTCCTGCAGCTGTGCATTGATACATAGAGAGTGATCGCGTTCCTGCAGCTGTGCATTGATACATAGAGAGTGATGGTGTTCCTGCAGCTGTGCATTGATACATAGAGAGTGATGGTGTTCCTGCATCTGTGCATTGATACATAGAGAGTGATGGTGTTTCTGGAGCTGTGCATTGATACATAGAGAGTGATGGTGTTCCTGCAGCTGTGCATTGATACATAGAGAGTGATGGTGTTCCTGCAGCTGTGCATTGATACATAGAGAGTGATGGTGTTCCTGCAGCTGTGCATTGATACATAGAGAGTGATGGTGTTCCTGCAGCTGTGCATTGATACATAGAGAGTGATGGTGTTCCTGCAGCTGTGCATTGATACATAGAGAGTGATAGTGTTCCTGCAGCTGTGCATTGATACATAGAGAGTGATGGTGTTTCTGTGGATGTGAAAAACTCAGACCTCCAGCCATGTCTCACACAAACTGTTAATTATGAAAATCTCGTTATCCTTTAGAACGCAATGATACCAGCTCCATTCCCCTGCTATTCTCTCTGGTTGTGTGACTTGTTTTACATTATAGACGGTAGCGTGGCGGAAGATCTGGACGCTTCTCAAGACCTCCACTCGCACTCGACACTGCAGACAGCAGCAGCAGCAGCGCCCTCACCCAGTGACACGATGATAAGTGTGGATAAACCAGTTCGTCCACATCATGTCACTGGTGATGATCACTGGCCATCATTCCACTATCATACGTACTCCGCTCTAGACGGTGTGCCCGGACTTCAGCCCGTCTACTCATTCTGGAACGATCCATACCGTGATCGGCCAAAGGGAATCAAATACGGCGCAGAGATGGCCAACAGGACGGCATCGTGGAGCAATCCCAGTACCGGCGTTGTTCATATGTTCCACACTCAGTACTGGGGAAACTGGATGTTTCAGGTAAGCTGTCATGTGACCTGATTACTCATAACGTCACAAGGGCTAGTCATGTGACCTGCTTTGCATGACGTCATCAATGGCTGGTCATGTGATGTGGATTTGTCATGTGACCTGATTGCACATGATGTCATCAATGGTTTGTCATGTGAGCTGCTTACGCATGATGTCATTAATTATTGGTTATGTGACCTGCTTATGCATTATGTCATCAATTATGAGTCATGTGGCATGCCCAGTGCTTTTGTAGCCAGTGTTTGCGGGTCTGAATATCGTGACACAAGAGTATTCAGGACATCTGCCTATATAGCAATCTCTATCTCCTGTTCGGTCACCGACGCTCATGACGCTTGGAATTTGATGGGTTTGAAGCGGAGGGGTGGGAAGGGGGGGGGACCAAGGGTTGGTCATGTAACGGGGGGTTGTCATGCGGCCAGGAATCGGTCAGACTGCCACGGCTGGTCAAGACCAGGAATCGGTCAGACTGCCACGGCTGGTCAAGACCAGGAATCGGTCAGACTGCCACGGCCGGTCAAGACCAGGAATCGGTCAGACTGCCACGGCCGGTCAAGACCAGGGAGTCTAGCGTAGAGGGAGGGGACACGCATGCCTGTAACGCTAAACGATATGGGTGTTGCTCCTGGGTTCCCTATTCCAGCCGCCCTTGGGGCAGGGTCGATATATAACACGCTGTTGTATGGCATCGCTGGACTGGGTCATTGCTTTCAATGGGATGACCGGGGCCGGCGCCCTCATTGCTTTCAATGGGATGACCGGGGCCGGCGCCCTCATTGCTTTCAATGGGATGACCGGGGCCAGCGTCCTCATTGCTTTCAATGGGATGACCGGGGCCGGCGCCCTCATTGCTTTCAATGGAATGACCGGGGCCGGCGCCCTCATTGCTTTCAATGGGATGACCGGGGCCGGCGCCCTCATTGCTTTCAATGGGATGACCGGGGCCGGCGCCCTCATTGCTTTTAATGGGATGACCGGGGCCGGCGCCTCATTGCTTTCAATGGGATGACCGGGGCCGGCGCCTCATTGCTTTCAATGGGATGACCGGGGCCGGCGCCTCATTGCTTTTAGCGCTCACACGCACTGTAGTTCACACGCATACTCTGTTAAAATGGACCAGCAGTGCAGTGCTTGCGGCTGCAAGGCCAACGTCCCGTGGTGGCCGCTTGACTTCTCAACGGATTTCTATGTCGGATACGGTACAATCATGTACTTTGTTGTCATAGTATGTGGCTAGATGTTATGACTGCCTGTTCATCATGATCCAGGGTGAGAAGTGGGAAAGCAGCTCACAATCAACTCAGTGTCTCCGTCAGAAATCTGAATCCGTCGGCTGCA